CTTAAGTATATATTTTGATTTTTTTATTTCCGGATATAGAGCAGTTAAAGTTTTATCGAGATATCTTTTGGGGAAACGCACCTTGTTATGAAGTAGTAAAAGTGGATAGTAGAAGAGGCACTTAATGGTTATGCATGCACAAGCATATTAGGTTTATACAATTGTTGAGTACGTTATATATAAAAAATAAACATATTGTATATGTAGTTTAAACGGGTGTTTGAAAACTGTCATCCTCTTACACTAAGTGGGGTATGGAAAGTTAGCAGGGAGAAGTGGGGAAACTGAGACATGTCAGCTTTACGACTGAACGTTTTGCAATGAAAACTAAATTCTAAGATGCACAGTCGTCGGATATAGCACGACTGGAGGTGGCGAATTAAGATATAACAACCGAAGCAATGAGGTTCCAAAATAGTTTGATATAACTCTCAAATTTCTGTAGATATATAGATATAATATGAAGCTTATAATGTAAAGTAAATTCTGTAGATGTAATAAAAGAATCATTGTTACAGTATTACTAGATAGTTTATGCAAAGATTGAAAACAACATCACATTTTCACAAGTCTAAAATTCCCATATTTAATTACTAGAACATTAATGTCTAAATCTCATGAACACCGAAGATACAAATTGTAGACACCAATGTGCCAACCTGCTGTATTCAATACTTAATGTAGGTATCAGAGGTCCGATGCTAGAATTCATGTATAACCTGCCAAAAAAACATCAATCAAAACATTATGATAAAATAATATCATTAAGAAGCACAAACACAAAACAATCAGATTAATATCATACCTGAGCTATAAGAAATATGAGAAAAATAACTTCGCTTAAATTGAAGTATGTAAAAGTTTTCTAAAATTTTATCTGGATATATATATAGTTTTGGTCTTCGCTTGAATTCACACTTTGTTTTTACTTTTTAACTACTAGGAGATCCGTAAACTATCTGTGATAAACAAGTAAATTTTTGACTCAACAGAAAGACGATTAAGGAAATTTGCACCATCTGCGAATGATGTTAGATATTATCAGCCGCGGTATAGCGGCTCAAAGAATAACTCTGAGTTTTTCAAGTATAAACGTTTAGCTCATAGTTCCGTCATCTCTTGACCGAACTGAGATTTTTAATTACAGTTTTGGACTCAGGAGGTCAAACCCTTTCGATTAACTACGCTAAAGGTCTCAAAGATTAATTTACTTTAATCCTGCCCTAAAGAATTCTAATTTGAGGGTAGTCTGGTAGAGATCCTGATGAGTAATAAAATCGAAACTGGTACACGCGAGCCTCACGCTTGGTATTGCTGGAGCAAAAAATATAGCTCATAAAAAGGGGGGAAAAGGCCTCATACATTAATTTATTCTAATCCTATTGAGGATTTTCTCTCGTTTTTTTTTCTTAGTACAAAGCTACACGGGGGGGGGGGAAGACAAACGGTATTAGTATGTTTAGTTTTTAACAGTGTTGGAAAAGAGAGGTTATCGAAATATTTTACGGGGTCTTACAAAAGTCAGTTGACTTAGAATATTACTAATTTATTCAACCCAAATTTCTAGATTAGTTAGCTGTAAGTTTACGGACTTGCAACTTTAAAATCCGGAGTTCGGTTCCCCGCGGTTGACAGAGTGCAGATAGCCCATTGTGGAACTTTGAGGTAAAACCAACATCATCTGTTTAATTTTACTCTACGACTATATGTGGACAGTACTTAAATATGCAAACAGACTGTAACACATTTTGATGCTAAAAACACAAAAGTTAATAAATGTTTAGTAACTAAATTATGGAATACCCTGTATTTAAGGAATTATTTTAAATTCTATATTGAACTCTGAATTATATTTAATAAAAAATAAAGCCAGCATAAAGCTTTGTTAGATTGTTTGTAATTAAGCAAAAGCTACACAATGGGCTATCTGTGCTCTGTCCACCATGGCTATCGAAACCCGGATTCTAGCGTTGTAAGTTCGCAGACATACCGCTATGCCACTGGGAGGCCAACATAAAGTACAAAAAGTCTTGAAAAGGTAGAATTTTCACCTCTTAAAATGCAAATGATATGTTTTAAAGCAGGGTTGTTTGCATTTAAAAAAAAATCTCTCACGGCATCTTCTCACTACGCCAGTATAGTGTTTATGATTACGTATTTTAATTTCTATACAATTTACTTTTAAAAATAAAGATAAGTGATAGTGAGTAATAATTCGGTATTGTTACTTAAACTTGGAAAAGAAAAGATGCTGTGATCGACAAATTTGTCTTTGTTCAAGTAACTGATACTTTTTTATGTTGATGAGTCACGATGTTCGCTGTAATTGAAATACGCCTACTGAAATCGCTTCCTCATTATGGAATTGATGGAGTTCGTCCGTGTTAGCTGGAATGAAACAGAGCAGGAGGATATTGTAACGTATTGTGTGACCTCCTTTTTTTTGTGTGTGTGGGAGGCGTGGGTTGGTTCAGTTGTTTGTTTCAGAGTTTTCGTGTAAAGCTACATAAGGGTTATACGTGCATAACCGTCCCGAATTTTAAACAATTATAGAAAGGAGATTTGTTTGGTTTGTTTCAGAGTTTTCGTGTAAAGCTACATAAGGGTTATACGTGCATAACCGTCCCTAATTTTAAACAATTATAGAAAGGAGATTCGTTTGGTTTGTTTTGAATTTTGTACAAAGCTACACGAGGGCTATCTGCTCTAGCCGTCTCTAATTACGGACTTGCAACTTTAAAATCCGGAGTTCGGTTCCCTGCGGTTGACAGAGTGCAGATAGCCCATTGTGGAACTTTGAGGTAAAACCAACATCATCTTGGTAGTTCAAAGCTACACGAGGGCTATCTGCTCTAGCCGTCCCTAATTTAGCAGTGAAAGACTAGAGTGAAGGCAGTTAGTCATCACCACCCACCGCCAACTCTTGGGCTACTCTTTTACCAACGAATATTGGGATTGACGGTCACATTATAACGCCCCCACGGCTGAAAAAGGGGGAGCATGTTTGGTGTGACGGGGATTCGAACTCGCGACCCTCAGATTGCGAGTCAGGCCTAGAGAGGAGATATGTAGCTGGACAATAGTATTCATGTCTAACTCTTGAGATACTCTTGCCTGAACGGATAGTTCGATTTAACCGTCAATTCTATAAGGTACCCACGAGTGCATTTTTGCGGCAAAATGGTGCGACCATGAACTTTCAAAATCATATTCCAAACACTTTAACCATTAGAGCTAGCCCAATACACAAATGTTCTTAATTCTCCAGTTTAGATGGAAAGGTTGAAGGAGAAATGTATAAATTATTTTCAAAAATAAAAATATAGTGCATTGAATGATCGAAAATGAATCTGTAATGAAACATTAATTAAAATCTTGTGTTCAATTCTAAATCCATATACTTGTTTGTTTGTTTGTAATTAAGCAAAAGCTACACAATGGGATATCTGTGCTCTGCCCACCACGGGTATCGAAACCCGGATTTTAGCGTTGTAAGTCCGCAGACATCCCGCTGTGCCACTGGGGGGCATCCATAGACTAGGCTAATAATGTAAAACGATATTCAAATTTTCAATATATATATATATATATATATATGTATATTCCCAAAATTATAAATATTAGAACCAATAAGCCTTAATGATATAAAATAAAATAAAAATAGAGAGGTTATTATGTCGAACTGATGCAGTTTTTGATAAAAATAATAACTTTCCAAACAGATATTGGATAGTGAAATGGTTTATTTCTAGTTAATATGGCCCTTAACATGCTTAAACTAAAGAGTTCTAAAATGAAACAAATGATTTATTGTTGTTCTGAACAGTACATTAGAATATTTTTCCACCATTAGTTCGTGTGGCTTGATACACGCTAATGTCTACAGGGAATCTCTTTCTTCTGAGTATCTTTGACAAACTAAGGTAATACGTGTCAAAGTTGTATACAATCTTTAATTAGAATCTGACTTTTTAACTTTATACACTGTAAAACAGAAGCGCGACATTTGATATCACTCCCAGTATTTAGTTTTCTTATTGAACATGGCAATAAATACATCATGTGTTCTGAAAATCTTGGTATTAGTTCACTTCTAAAGAAAAATCTTTGAAACGAGAAAATCCACACTAAAAACTTATACCAGGAAAATTTTCAATTACTTATAATAATTTATGTGTGATTAGCAGGTCTTTGATTTAAGTTATAATGTAATTAAAACAAAAAAAAGTATTGTTTTCTAATTATTATCATTTTACCCCCAATATAAAATGGTAAATTAAATATAATTATTATTTATTTCTTGGTTTATTCTACCATAAAACACAGTCATCATGTTCAAACTCCTGGTTACATATAAAAGTGTAACTGTAATAAGTATGTGTTTTTTTATAGCAAAGCCACATCGAGCTTTCTGTTGTGTCCACCGAGTGGAATCGACCACCTTATTTTATCGTTGTTAATCCGTGGACTTACCGCTGTCCCACCGGGAAACATGATTGAGGACTAATGAACAAGAAATAAGTGAATAAATTATGTATTTGTGAAACGTACAATTGTCTCGTTTTTCCTCAATTTTGACCCCGCCCCCCAGTGGCACAGCGGTATGTCTGTGGACTTACAACGCTAGAGAGCACGTTTCGATATCCATGGTTGGCAGAGCACAGAGAGCCCATTGTGTAGCTTTTGTGCTTAACTTCAAACAAATCAAACCAACCAAATCCTCAATTTGATATTTAAAAACCTTAGTATTTTCAGTTGCACAAGTGTATTATAGCAAAGTAACAAACCAAACCAACCAAATCCTCAATTTTGTAACAAGACATGTTAAATTTATTATTCGGGTTTCTTCTTACTTCCGATGTTAGCTTTTATTGAAACGTTTGACCTATCTTGAGTAGCAGTGACACCATATATATATATCATAGCAACATTACAGAGTATAAAATATATGAACTACGAAAACAATAATTCTAAGAAGTGTAGAAATATCACAGTCTTGCCTTTTTTGTTGGACTCGGGGTGAATATCTAAAGTTCTAACATGAAGAGTTACCGGCGGACTTCTTCCTTTCGCATTGACAGAATAAATGAAAAGCACGAATGGCGTGCCAGGAGGTAAGGAATGGACGACGAATAAAGGAACATCTGAAGCAGAAATATTTTCTTGGAGATGGTCGTTTCTTTTGTTGTAGACTTCAAGCTGGAAATGTTGAGATAACCCTTGATCTATAGGAGGAGAGCAACGAACAACAAACATCATTCTCGTTTGGTTGATGAGCAAGCAGTCCTTTGGTACCTCGGGAGGAGCTTCAGGAAAAAAAAAAGAAACAAACTGTATCATTATCTTTTCTCACAACTATGGTAGAAAAATGCAAAGAAATTATTTAAAAACTAATGTCTCTTCAAAACTCGTCTTGTGCCTGTTTCTGGACGTTTGAATCATCGTTATGACTCCATTCTCATATAACATACTACATATACTAAGAAATGGATCAGATGTTCAAACATCTGCCCATTTACTCTTTCGCTATCCCATGTCATGATCGTGTTAATCTTTAGGCTTTCTACATCTGTTTTGCATTTTAATTTTTCTTTTCTTTGATATTTAAAAAACTTAGTATTTTCAGTTGCGCAAATGTTTTATTGTAAAATAACAGAAAGTATATTTTATTTCATTTATCTTTAAGACCTATCTGCTTATCTATTTATCTAGTTGGATCTATGATTGCGTCTTCTTTTGTTTGCAGGTAAGTTTAAATTATTATTCATGAAGGCAAAATGGACATCCCCTTCAAATGTTGTCTGACATGTTGCTCTTAACTTCAGTCATTATCAATTTATGTTACAAAAAAAATTTTGAAAACCATTTTAAATAAGAAGATATTACATTTGATGTAAGCATTTACAATTTCATCTAGTGTATAATTAAATAGACGATCTTTTTGTAATAAAATTTAAAAGTCATCCTGAGTGACGACGTTTGCGACTTTGTGGTTGTAGTATAATGTAATGGCTTTTGACAGGATTTGTATGAGTAATGAATTTTAACATGTGTTTAATGACATTTAACACCTAAACTAAAGTAATAAGATTCAAGACGTGACTGATGAATAAAAGAGGAGCTCTAGTATAAAAAATTTTGAAAAAGTGATCGAGAACAGCAAAAGTATGACGTTTCCGATTGTGAAGTTTAATAAATGATATAGAGTAATGATATCTAAGATATAAAGTAGTGTAATGTCGTTTTTAATGTAATCTAAAGTATAGGAGTTTAGTACATGATTTCGATTAATGACTGTTTGAGCGATAAGGTATAATAAAAAAGTATAGTGTAATGAATGATGTTTAAAACGTAATTAAAGTTTAACGTTATCTCATAATAGGGGAATATAAAGCAATGATGCTTAAAACTTGGTATTTGGTTTTCTAATGTAGTAACGCTTAACGTTATGTAATAAAACTTTTATGGTGTATTCTAGTTTAATAACATAAAAGAAAGCATTTAGTATAGTGAATGATATTAGAGATTCTTGCGATTTATATCATTCAATCTTGTGTAATGATGTTTAAGAAATCATTTTGTATAATGATACTCGAGATGTTTTTGAGTCCAATGCTGTTATATAATGTAATTTTTATGACCCATTCTAGTGTAATCGTGTAGTACAACGATGTTTTCTAGTGTAATAACGCTATATAATGTAATTTTTATGACTCATTCTTGTGTAATCGTGTAGTATAACGATGTTTTCTAGTGTAATAACGCTATATAATGTAATTTTTATGACTCATTCTTATGTAATCGTGTAGTATAACGATGTTTTCTAGTATAATAACGTTGACAGTGTGATCTAGAAGAATTATTTAACGTTTTCAAACATTGTACATTAAGATAAGATAAAAAAGATAACGTTTAAAAGAGTTATTTACTATTAACTTTTCGAGAATTAATAGTTCATATATTAATTTTAAACTAGTGTCAAATATATTTTGCTGAAATGACTCATTCGTTAAGGAAACAAAAAAGTTCTCGTTTGTTTGAAGTTAAGCACAAAGTTACACATGGGCTATCTGTGCTCTGCCCACCACGGGTAAAATGTTTTTACAGATGAAAGTTAGATTTGTTTGTTTGTTGGTAATTAAGCACAAAGCTACACAATGGGCTATCTGTGCTCTGCCCACCACGGGTATCGAAACCCAGATTCTAGCGTTGTAAGTCTGCAGACACACCGCTGTGCCACTGGGGGGCTAAAACAAAAAAGAAATTATATGATAAAGTTGCAATTTTCACATGTAGTATGAGCATTCGTTATATTTGTAAAAAGTTTTCTCGCATATTTTCCCAATGTTTGTTACAAACTATATTACCAAATAAGAATGCAGGAATGTCACTTGTGGATGTCAATGTGAAATTACTGTGGATGTCAATGTGAAACGATTGTGGATGTGCATGTAAGTCCAAGTCTTGTGTGTGAAGTAGACAAACATAATTGTTTGTTGTTAAACACAAGGCTACACAATGGACTATCTGTGTTGTACCCACTACGGATATCAAAACTTGGTTTTTACTTAGTTTGTTTGTAATTAAACACAAAGCTACAGTGGGCTATCTGGCTTTGCCCACCACGGGTATCGAAACCCGGTTTCCATCGTTGTAAGTTTGCTGTGCCACTGGAAGGCATGTTTTTTTTTGCGTTATAAGCCTAAGGTTTACCGCTTAGCCATTATAAGCATTAGAAAAGGCTTCATAACAGAAGCATGCAAAAATTTATTCTTTTTATTGGTTAAATATGAAGTTTCGATGTAAAGATATATGTATAAAAAAATTACCCAAATCTTGGAAGTGATATTGTAAAGTTATAAAAGGAGGAGGCCCGTTTACAAATATTAGTATAAATAGGAATAATTACTATTGAGTTAAAATATAATTTTTTCATAATTAACAAATTTCAATATCCGATATCTTAATTTAGTAACATTTTGATTTCGTATACGTGTACAGGAGATTAGTTACAGCTATGGATAAAACAAGACGTTTATATTTGTAACTATGAAGGCCAACTACGTTCATCGTAACATGTATTAAGGCATTTAGCAGTTTCATCTACATAAAAATCTTTTATTTAAAGAAGCACATTTTTTATTAGTTTTAAAATTTATTGAGTTATTTTTTTATTGTTGTTATGAAACTTAAGCTAAGAGTATATAGCTATTAAAACGTGTAACCAGTCCCAAAAAATATTACTGTTTATTAAACAATACCATAAGACATTGAATAGATATGTTTTATAACGCTATTATGGATTTATTGAAAGAATAGAAGGAGTTTCATTATGGTTTAAATATCTCAATGTACGAATTTGCGGGTAATCTTAGTAATTTCTAGATGGCAAATATTGGTAAAAAAACATATTTACCTCCTGGAATAACATTAAACATGCAGGGGCGTTTTTGCTCTCCAACTTTATTCTTTGCCCAGCAAAACAAAGTCCCATATTCCATTTCAGACTTTGGAGAGAATACGGCCACACTAGATGTTTGATTTCGAATGAACGTATTTATCGACAGCTCGCCGAAACTATTGTTTATTGACCAACGAAAATTAACTTCCGGGGGTTGTGCTTCCACCTCACACGTCACCCTCACCTTGGATCCAACAAGAGCAGCATACGTTTTAATTTCTTGTGCTTTACAAACTGGGGGATCTGACAAATTGACAACAACAATATTAGCAATGAATGGCAGATATCAGTGTAAACATACATTTGGAGAAATGAGTATGTTATTTTACAAGAACATGAACATACTTATGAAATATGTTCTTAGTTGTGGTATTGCCATTTTTTTCAGCTCATGCAAAAAAAAAGAAAAATTGGTTTCCAATTTCTAATAAATTAAGTTCTCCTCACAACCAGTGCCGCTTTAAGGCACTGGTTGGTCCTTGGCGAAGTCTAAACTAGTGGTCCTCCCTTACTTTTAAGAAAATACCATACAATTTGATAAACTAAATTTATTAGTGATAAAAAGAATAAGTGAATAAAAAAAGAAAGAAATATATTAAAATGATTAATTATTTTTGAATTAGATAAATCCAGAACGCTTCTCTCACGCCCACCCCTGACCACATAGTATTGCCTTTTAAACATTTCATTACTTAATAGATTTTTGTTTATGTTTGTTTGTTGTTAAGCACAGAGCTACACAACGGGCTATCTGAGCTCTGACAACGACGGGTATCGAAAGCCAGTTTTTAGCGCTATACGTCTTTATACTTACTGCTAAGTCACTGGCAGGTGTTATTCCTTTTACAAAATGACGCTCTTTGTAGTAAGGCCTTGAGAGTTACTTATTGCTTTATAACTATAAAATGTACATTTTTTGTTGGTTCACATTTTGTTAAAAATGTTTTAATTACTAAAATTTTGAAATTTATCACTAAGAATCTTTTTACGTATTATTAGAAACTTTCAGAAGTTCATGGAAACACGTGATACAGTGACTCTTGATACTAGGCGAGCAGTTAACGTTTGAAAAAAATAATTTATAACGTAAATTTACAGCAGAGGGTAATTGTTGCTGTATAATATTTCTATTTGTCTCTACTTGAAGTTATGGGTCAACATTCTCTTAATGGCCTAAAATTTATTCGACTGCTTAATTGGGTTTCACAAAAATAAACAAGTTAAAGAAACCGAGTTAATAGCATATGATAAGATCGTATAAACTTCATCCAAAATCTAGTTATGGATATCACTCAATCTTCATTGCTATATGGCAGCAGGGAGCGTAGTAATGAAACTTGATAACTGACGTTTAACTTGTCGAATAAATTTATGTTTAATTGAAGTTCTTATTTTTTGTCTTCTTTACGATAGATGTGTTGAAATACTAGTGCATTTATACCTAGTGGTATACATTTTTATACATTAAAACTAGTGGTTATACCTTTCAATGTGAAAGTTTGAACTTGATTGTTTCTTCAACCACCATGTAATAATATATTGAGAAACTTACTTTTAAAGACAAAATAACAAAAGAAATACCATCAAGGATATGAACTGAATGTGTCCACACCTGTATCAACCAGAAAAAAAGAATGGTTGACTATGAAATTGACTTGCAGTAATCTAAATGATATTCATCAACACTGTTAACATTTTATGGAAATACTTATTTGTTGTTGGTAGAAAAGTTGTTTTTTTGTTGAACATTCCTATACTTTAGTTTCGGTTTGCCCAACATTTTGAAATTACATTTTATATCCATATCAGAAAAATAGCAATAACAAGTAAAGTTTAGTGTTATTGTGTTAAGATATATTTTTTAATCATAAAAGTTATCACGATGCACGTCAGGTACCGTAGGTTATGATGTGGACTGTTTCCATTTGGGAGTAGGTTAAAGATAAGATACAAGTAAACAAGGATGATCAAATTTAGGTTTTTGTTTCTCCAGAATGATACACCTGGTATTTCAGAGAAGATGATTTTCAGGCGATCGTTATACTGGAAAGTTGAATTTATTTTTTAATTCATGAAAGAGTTGCCCTTTGTAAACATTAAATGATAACTGATTTTTAAAGGTTTATTAAGTCTTTTCTTTTTTGCTTTCTGAGGGTTTTGAAAATCTTAAACTTCTATTCATAGCTTCCGTTAAAGAACTAGTGTAATTATTTTTCAGAGCAGATTATTCTCATTGCCAAGATTTAACTGAAAGTAACGTTCTGTTTGGAATGTGAAGGATAACAGCCCTTATAATGTTTACCACAAAACTGTGTATATGATATATTGCATAATTATACGTTTTATAACATGATAAACAAGAAAATTCAGCTTTTTAAAAAAATTTAGGCAAAGAATAAATAACTCACATATCACTTGTAAAAATACTTCTCTACTGGATTCTTCTCCTTCTTTATTTACAGCAATACATTGAAATTTGCCTTTGTGACGTTTCTGGACATTTTGAATTGATAAGGAATAGTTGGTGATGAGAATACCAAACTTCGGATTCGAGTGCATTGGTAAACCTTTAAAGAGCCACCAAACACTGAGTTCTTGTGGGTTTGATTGGACGATGCAGTCTAGTAAAACCTCGCTACCTTCTTGCACATTGCTAAGGTTGGTTGGATACCGTGGAGTAATTTTCACTCGAGGAGTGTCTAGATGTCAAGAAATGTTCACATTATTCTTTAGACATAGACACATTTATAGAAAAAGAGAGGGTTATGAAATATTTTCCTGAAACACAGCGACTGCATTTTCTAATACTTGTTATTATGAAATAAATATACTAAAAATGCAAGCTAGTTTGTATTTGAGACAAAATCTATTGCTCATATGAAAATAACTAAAACCGACTACACTCTTCGTAATTTTCGAACCAAGCTTATGATTAGGTCTTATTACAGAGCCTGTGAATATTTAGAGTAACTTTAGAAAATTACAACATTTTGTAGCAGTCTTTACAACCTGCATTACCGTAAGAATTGATCAAAAATACATTATTCATAACTTAAATAAATATCATTTTTCTCATTATGTAACACTGATTATGACAGTGTAAATAAACTGCATCGATACTATCCATTCATGCTTTTGTTAGTATTTTATTTATAACTGGTATAACAGTTAACCTGCTTCCCTTATGAAAACCAGAACACTTTTTTCTTATCATACTAAAGTGTTACATGAAAAAATATGAATTGTGGCTTTTCTATTCCCCAAAACGGACGCCTGTAAGATGCGATCTCGAAACAAACAATAGTGTATATGAAGTTTGGTCAAACCAGAAATCTTATAGAAATAAAACAAACATTAAATTGAATATTTGTATTGAAAACCCATACAGTTTCCAACACAACACGTGTGGTAGACCAGCTATCAAACATCAGGTACCTGCATGTAGATAATTCCTAACTAGAGATATCGATTATTGTATTATATTTCAGGAATAAACATATTTTTCTCTGAAGTAAGTTAATTCGTGATTTAGGAAAAACCAATCACCTTTAGACATTATATTTAACTTTTACAATGATATTTCTAGTAAAAATAGTCATTAACTAGGACTCAAATAACACTTTCATAGTTGTATCTCTTGCCGACGAGGTGTTTTGGTCAGTACAATACCTCTTTCTTTTGGTTGGTTTTAACAAGTTTTATTTATAACACTATATATCTTTACAGATATTTAAAAAACTCTTTATCACTGTTAATTCCAAACAAATATATAAAACCACACATCATACAGGCATAAATACCGGTTTCATGTCATCAAGAAATATATAAAATCACACATCATACAAGCATAAATACCGGTTTCATGTCTTCCAGGATACTCTTTAGTTTCTAAAATAATGATCTCTCTAACAAGACCTAATAAAGTCTTATTTCAGTAACTGAACAGTATTCTGGAATGTACGAAATCTATATTTATGCTTTTTTTATGTTTTTATTTATTTGTTTTAAATTAACAGTAAAAAAGAGTTTTAAAATATTTTTAGATATATTCTTATATTGCTTCATTTTTATTAATCACTTTCCTGTGTAAAATATATTTGATTACTTCTATATATGGATATACATAATAGAAAAAGTACAATATATTACCCAGCAAATAGTTAACGTCTAACTACTGAAACATTTTTTGAGCTGAAAGTATGAACAGATCACATCACATCATGACTGCTAAAACTGTAATACGATACCCCTGTGAGCTTTATCGGTTAGAAAAGTACATCAATGGCATTTTTCTACATTGTATAAGCATAATATATGATATAAGAGTACTTCTCGTAAAAGAAATTCGCCTAGCTATACTTAAGACGTAGGAGTTTAAACTAGTTGAAGCAAGCCATATTGCAAAAGTTCTTCGGCTTTTCCTTTTTAGATAGTTTCATAACTCCAAAATGTGGGTGTTATATTTAAGAATCCAAGTGTCTTGTGCTGCCATGAACAGGGTTTCGACTGAAAATTTAATATCCGTTACTCTTTATATTGTTTTGTGCTAACAGTACTATTGAGGTATATTGCTTTGTGCTAACAGTACTATTGAAGTATATTGCTTTGTGCTAACAGTACTATTGAAGTATATTGCTTTGTACTAACAGTACTATTGAGGTATATTGCTTTGTGCTAACAGTACTATTGAAATATATTGCTTTGTGCTAACAGTACTATTGAAGTATATTGCTGTGTACTAACAGTACTATTGAAGTATATTGCTTTGTGCTAACAGTACTATTGAAGTATATTGCTTTGTGCTAACAGTACTATTGAAATATATTGCTTGGTGCTAACAGTACTATTGAAGTATATTGCTTTGTGCTAACAGTACTATTGAAGTATATTGCTTTGTGTTAACAGTACTATTGAAGTATATTGCTTTGTGTTAACAGTACTATTGAAGTATATTGCTTTGTGCTAACAGTACTATTGAAGTATACTAAATTAAAATCATTACCTTTATTTTTATTCCACATTTCAGTTTCTACGTGTGTAAGGAGTTTAAAATACAAAGATACAAATATAATTATCTTTTTTTAACTCATAACAACTATATGGTATTTACGAAGATTCTTTAAACGTTGAGAAAACTAATAATATAAAGTTACTAATCTTACCTTCCTTTAAAAACTCAATTCTCTCTACAACAGCTTAGAATTTACCGAGTTTACCTCAAATGCCATTTCTTTACCCTACTGAAACCTATACTGCGTTTTTTAAAAATAAAATGCTAAAAATATTTTTAATCTTGTTAATATATTTTGTCATACTTTTACCTTTTAAAAGGTTTGATTTCATTCATTTTAGCCTTATAAATCATGTAACTAGAATATAATACTTACAATAAACTATTAATTTGCGAACATCGGAGATAACGCTGTTTTTAAGAACTTTATTGTCAGCTCTGCAGGTGATATTCTTCTCATTATCCTTTACTTCAGGGGTGAATACAACAGTGCTTACAGTTAGGTTACTAGCTGGAGCTATGACGTCTGATACTAAGGTTAGTCTTTCAATTCCCTTCCACCAAGTGATTTCAGACGGAGGTCTGGCTCCCCATGTCTCGCACACAAACTCCACCTGTTGACCAGCATGCACGGGTCTATTTGATGTGGTGATCTTTACGTCTAAAGGCCTCACTGTGGGAAAAGAAAATGAATATCATCATGTTTAACCACAACAGACTGTATTTGCTTTAAGTGTTCAATTCTGAATTATGGAGAATGTATACATAGCATATGAGTATTATATTTTAAACACGTGAAATGACCATGATATTTCCCGTGGTGGATAAGTGGGGTTTCATTCCTCGCTGTAGAGAGAATTCGGACAGCCCATAGCGTAAATTTTCAATAAGAAAATTACAACAATGAACACGGTATATTTATATAAGATATTTGGAAAATGATATAGCATATGCAAGAAAACAAATCAAGGGAGTAATTGTTAGATTTATATCATAAGATTTAATTTAAATCAATTTTCTATGGTGACTTATATTTTTAGCCATTTATTATAAAAATACACAGATTCTGTTAACTCTTTGTGGAAAAAATAACTTAAAACTGTTAATTAGATTTTGTGTTTTATAAATTTTAGATGTCGAATAAAAGTTTTAACTCAAGCGTCGTTAAAAAGATTTGGAAAGATGTAATTTATTCAGTATGGAGACAATAATTTACAAATTCATGCATTTTGTATTATCCCCGGTGCTCAGCAGGATTCGATTTCCCCATAGAGAACGTAGCGCAGAAAGTACTTTGTGTAGTTTTGTGTTCAAAACAAAGCGTATTGTATTTCTTGTGATAGTATATAGAGATCGTGTCAAAACAGCACCAATAACTAAAAGCAGGTTGATGTAGGCAGAGAAAAAGTAAGTTGGTTAGATAAATCAAGGCAATAATTAAAGTTCTAACACTCTTTTAGGGCTGTGTTACTTAAATAATGAAAGACAGGTAGTCAACACAACCAACCTCCAACTCTTGAGCTACTCTTTAAAAACTAAGATTAGAATTGACCTTCACATTATATCTCTCCCACGGCTGAAAGGTCGGGCATGCTCAATGACAACATTTGAACCTGCGACCCGCAGATGGCGAGTCGAGCACTCTAGCCTTCAGGTCATATCAGTCCTTTTTAAAATATCACCTTGACATAACACTAAGACTAACAACTACCTCTTTGCACGTCCATCTCTTTGCCTGCATATCAGTGTGTCTGTTTTCCTGCTTTTCCCTATATACGACATTATCTTCATTTTTTTTTCTTTGTTAATTTATTTTATTCATTTTCTATAGTCAGCATTACTAAGTGAAAGAATTTCACTTACCAACAGAAAATACAAGATAAGAAAGAGGTTAAGGTAATTTAAGTCAAATTTAAAAGTCTAAAAATCATTTGAATCTTTAAGGGATTTTGTTTGTCAAAGTCGAAGAAATATGTAGGGGAAAAATAAAATAGTTTTCTACGTGATATTAACATCACTTTCTCCACGGCTGAGATAAGTTGTGAATGAATGAATTTATTTTGTTTAAATTATTTTTTAAAGGTATTTTCCCGAAAAACAAAAGTAAAAACGATACCAGGTAGCCAGGGAAATTATGAAAGGTAGACCGTTATTCCTTAAGAAAACATTCATGTTATCAATTTTATCTTGCAGATATTTAACTGTGATGACTCATACAAAGAACTAGCTTTAACTAACTTTTTTAACTGTAATGACTCATACAAAGAACTATATTTATAATTTAAAGCCTGCGATAGCGACATCGCGCGGACATTTAAAATTAGGAACAACCAAAGAAAATATACTGTAAAAATCGAACATATTAATGGAATGTTTTCAACAATAATTTTTCACTCTTAATTAACGAAAACATGTTCCTACACATGAAGCGTATTAAAATTAGCTCACTCACGACTCTATGTCCATATTTTGTATTTGAAATAAAACACTACAAATATTGAAATAAAAATTCCATTGGTGTGACATTTTGAAAATACCTGAATCCTATATTTCAAAGTACGTAGACAATACTTGCCTGTATTTCATTACAAAACATATATTTTGTTTGTATTATACAATTTCTTAAAGCTAATTATTAGTCATGACTTCCTAAAGAAAACCAGAGAAATTCTTCCTTTCAAAGAACACGCAAGGTTAATTATCGCTATTATTTAATTTAAATTTGCGAAAGTTTGTTTGTAATTAAGCACAAAGCTACACAATGGGCTATCCGTGCTTTGCCCACCACGGGTATCGAAACCCGGATTCTAGCGTTCTAAATCTGCAGACATATCGCTGTGCCACTGAGGGGCACTTGCGAAAGTGTAAGTATATTAAATTTACAGAAATTGGTTGACTTTATAGTCGGGCATTCAAGTGACTTAATATTTTTGTGTGACTTTGACTGACAGTAACCTTTTCTTTAACAAGTTTGGTTGAATGTAAAAAACGTTTACGGATTTACTGTTCATTTAGGGATACCTGAAGAAGGGCATTGCCCGAAACGTTGTATTCACAACGGTATGTATATCTGTAGTTAACTCCTCGTTAATCTGAATAATGTACAGTTAATTTCATAGAAAAGATAAAGAAATTAAGGATATTAATCCATTATACATGAAAGTACATTAAAAACGAAAAGACTCTTTGTTTGTTTCAGTTGGATTTCGCGCGAAACTAAATCAGGGTTTTAGGCGCACGCTTATGTTCGTTTCTTTTAGTACAACGCTACTCAATGAATTGGTTGTGCTCTGTTCACCGCGGGGAACCGACATCTCAGATTTTAGTGTTGTTAGTTCGTAAACTAAACATACCGCTGACCCAACGTAAAATGTTATGTGCAGACCGCCAAACATTTTGAGGTGTTATACAAGACAAAAACCAGTTAATAAACATCACCGACTACTAGCTAACCCTTGGCATACGTTAGTTGGATTTGACCGTCACTCTTATAACGTATCCACGCCCTTAAAGTACGTAGAATGATTTTTTGTTGTTGCTGTAACAGGGATTCAAACTACAGGATTTCAGCTGCACATTTTTACATGCTAACTACTGTTCCGCGCCTGGCCCAAAGCTGAAAGAGAAATGCACAAATCCCTGAACTTTCTAATGATATAATAATAAACAATGAACCTGCAGCATGAGAAATAAAAAGCTTGAAAGTCTGTAGCTCTTTTTGTTATATTCCTATTCGCTGCACGTTAAATAATGGGCTATTTTCATGTTATACGTTGACGAATCTCATAGACCGTGAAACTTAACACACTCAATCTTTTCTGTGGTCTTGTAACATGAGGTATAGAGTGAAGGTAACGGCAGTTATTTCACCAAAACAGCAATCATGCTTCTGGCCTATATAAAGTTTATATATAAATGTGTGTATATACTGTATTAGTATAATAAAAAAGAAACCGTATCCAGGTCGATACTCGTATAGTTTAATTTTTTTATAGAAATGTAGCTTTTGTAATAGTTTGGTCTAGAGAGAGAGAGTAGCGACAGTTATTTCACCAAGACATCAATCACAATATTGGTTTATATTGTTTAAATCGTTCATAACGACGTAGAATGAATTAATTTTGGTAGCTTAATTGTTTTTTTTTTTTGTTGTCCTTAGCGGTGTTACCCTTCACAAAGAAAATTTCCGAGAGTGAAGTACGTAAAAATAGAATGAAAATAAAATACACTAAATTGTCCCTCCGTGAACAAGCGTTATGTACTATATATATATATATATACCATAAGATTCTTGTTAGCAGTACTATTAGCAACAACACACTGCTTTGACTGAGTTATTCAGCACCATGCTAATATCTTTTTTGAGTTATGCTACTGAGTAGGTTCCCACCTATATAAGACATGGAATCTAAACTATAATAACCAAAATGCATTACTTTACCACTTATTATAATGAAGAGTCATTTAGAAACTATCTGTCAATCTTAACAATTGATCTAAGTCATTCTATAACGCCCGAACATCCCCAATACAGCTTGTAATATTCAGCCGTTTAATGACATCAGCCGATTTTACTAATTTACTTAATAAGCTCCTATCAATATCATTAAGGCAAATAAGATAAGCAAAGGTCCAAGTATTCATCCATGAGGTACTTCTCTTTTTCCAATCATAAACCAATCTACTTAACTAGTCCTTCCCAGCCCATACCAATGTTAATTTATTAGCTATTCGTCTGTGTGAAACTTGTGAATAGCTTTTTTTAAAACCCAAGCACATCACGATCACAACCTCCAATCATAAAACCTTCCATCCATCGTAAAAAGTTAATACTTTAGTAGGGTAGGATCTCCTTTTATTAGATCGATGTTGCTTTTTTATGACACCATACTTTATTAAATTATTTTGAAAATCTTATTTCACCAGACTCCAGAATTTTGAATTTTCCCCATTACAGAAATAGAACTAACTGATTTACAATTTTTAGTGCAACGTTTATCAACTCCTATAAAAATGGGAGTAACACTCTCCAATCTTCAGGCATCAGTCTACTGTCTTATGACTTGACAAAAATGAAATCTGATATTTGACCTCCTTTAAAATCACAAGGAAAACCTTATCTGGGTATGTTGCTCAATTTTAAGTTATTAAATATTTCTACTTACATTCAAGAGATTAATAACTACACGTTTCAGGCGAATTCCTATATTTCCCATAGAATACACAATATTAGGAATATTGCTAATTTTTTTTGTAGAAGCATTAAAGAAAAACAAAATTAAAAGCATAATCCTCAATAAATCTTTTTTAACAAGTTTAAAGATCCAATTCTCATTTTATTATATTGTTTGCATTAAACATACTTGAAACTTCTTGTTTTAGCTTTGACATTATCAGTCAGCTGTTTTTCATAAGCCGTTTTTGAGTTTGTAATTTCTTTTATACCAAATCCTTACTATTTTCTGTAGTTCGCTAAATCTTCAATCCTATCTCTCAGTTTAAACTTCTTAAAGTTATGCCATTTATCCCTAATTTTATTTTTTATGACTTTTGACAACTAATTAGCTTTTAAATTCTCTTTTATCTTTTTACTTTTTCTAGGAACATCCTTATTTTGAATTAAAAGCAACTTATATTTAAGTTTCCAAAATCGGTTACAGATCAGCTTTTAAA